CTGCGAGTATTTATTTGCGCAAAGCCATTGAAAACGATGTTAAGAAATTGCATTTACTCGACTAAAAGGTGAAATCCTATAAGTACTTAGGTAGATGGTGGCAAGTAGAAAGTTCTCACTTTTCAGTTTCCAGTTTTCGCTCTTGGCATGTGTAGTATCATTGTCAGCGCGTCTGCTGTAAATTCCTAAACTAGTAGAACGTGGCGTAAATGTGCAGGAATTTACTTAGAATGCGTGAGAAAATACAATTAAACTTGCAGTATTTACTTGTATGTGCATGCACGTGGCTGATACTTATAAAGTGTAATTTTTTTTTGGCAATAAGAGTATGAAACTAGTTACATAGAAGTTTGCTCATATTTAACAGTAGAAATTTCGTTTATGGCATACAAATATGTATTAATATTGTATTCACAGTAATGAAGTAATTGATGGAAATGCCCAATTTGCGCATCTAAGTTGCAATTAGGAATTTGAACCTGATTGCGCATTATGCATATTTTCATCTTCTATAGTTTAGAAATAAAAGAGACTGATGCATCGACGCATTTACGAAGTCAGCCTTCTTTATGATATCACTTTTAGCTGTAACTGAGTAGATATTGCATGAATCGCTGTGTGGCTAGAACGAAATTTCTCAGAGGACGAATGTTGGACAGCTTGAGAGAAAGTACTGTTATAGTTCCACCTCACCGCCCTCTAAGTAGTTGCGAATGCCAGGGTGGAATGCGATCTTAGTACCATCCCATTCGCTCCGCCATACAATATTATTACGGCCCATTTAAGAGAAACACAGCCGCAACTGAAAAAGGTGAGGCATAAGTCTACTAGTTATTACCGTGACACCGTGAGCATGACCTAACCCTTTATTGCAGTTAGAGTATATCGACTGCTGTGTGGTAGATCGACCTTTCTCGGCAGACGGTTCGAAAACGCCCTATCTCAGAAAGTGGCTCAAGAATGACCTACTTCAGAATTTTGTTAAAGAACGCGCAATCTCAGAATTTGACTTAAGAACACCTTATCTCATATGTAAATTTAATACATCGGCAGCTGCAATAGCACGATTTTGGAACCATCTGTTAGGATAGGGCGTTACTAAAGCTTCTACATATTATGAATTTCTGAGTGTTATGTTTTCTTAAGCGGCCGCAATGAAAGGTTTCAGAGTGTACTTTGGCCATGAGAAAGTTTGAATTTCTAATGAAAGATATGAAATCTCCCTTTTCTATAAAATGAAAAACTTATACATCTACATAGATATTTATTTTATACCAACACATTTTACTTGTTGGTGGTTTTTGATCTTTGGTCTAGATTTATATCAATATGACAGATTTTGTATTGATTGCAGAGAATGCTTTTCTTCGTACTCCACACTACTCAAAAATATCACATCATCAATTATCTACTCCTTTGCTCAAATTGGCGTTAATTTCTTATTTTAAACTCATCACCATATAATAAATATGCCGCGTAAAAAGTATGGCGCATTTTCTTCCACCTCATCACACTTTAAGCAAAGTGGTTTGGTTAAGATATTAGATTGTGTATATACATATGCACATCGGTTCTCTGTAATCCGTGAAAGCAAATCTCTAAACACATAGCACATTTATGTACATATGTATGTATACATGTCACCGTTGTTTATTTGTATGTATGTGTTTCATTATGCTGTCGTATTCAGAGCACAAAAGTTTCCACGAAACAGTAAATGTTTTGTCAACATCTGTCAGCGCCGCCCACCTCTCAACTTACATAATCCCAACGCACACGTTCGCGCTGTTCCAGCTTCTTGAATACACACATATACAATATACACACTATATTATTCCAGCGATGATGGCTTCTAGCGGTAATTAAAGCTGACACACTTGCACTACATCTTTACTTATCTAATCAGTGCGTGTCTACTTCATAACATTTTTCACATCCTACCAGCGCACAGTGGTACAAAATTGGCAGTTTGTGTTCACAATTCACTGGAGCCTTAATTTTTCATTAAGCTAATAAAATTCGCAAGAGACCTGTTGAGACCGATTTTTTAAATTTTTTTTCTTATATTTTTTGTTTTGTGCAAAGTGCAGAAACGGTACCAATTTTGAAGAAAATCGATTCTCCTGTTCCAGTTAATAAATGTTACATAATAAAAACTAGTTTAAAATAATTGTAGAGTTATCCCAAAACGAAAAAAAATTAAAAAATTTAAATTTTATAAAAAAATTTTCAACTAAATAAATTTTTTATTTTTATTTTTATGGTTTATATAAAAATTTTGGGTATGCAGTTTTATAGATTATTAAATTTTTGTATAAATAATAAAGTGCGAATAATCAAATTGAGTGCAAAAAATGAAGGCTCCTATGAATTGTGCACATTAAATGCCAGTTTTGAGCCACTGTGCAGCGGCTGTCTGCCTGCCCGACAACCTAGCTGACTGCATGGTTGCTTGCTTGGCTGTCAGCCTAACTGCCAATATGTTGTTTAGCTAATTGCTCATTTGGGTTAAAGTGTCGTCAACCGTATTATTTGCATATTCTGTAGTGAATATACCAACAGATGTATGTATGTACATATATACAATGTTTTCATTGTACTTAAATCGTTTGCTTCCCAAATGAAATTTCTGTGTTGAAGGGAAGTTTGTTTGCATCGTTTAACTGTTGCAGTGATTGTAATTTGTATGTATATATTTTTCTTGCAATTAAATAGATACATTTACTTTGTGTGTTATAATAAATATACCGCGCTCTTCTCGATGCTTTAGGAGTTCAGTAATCTTTCTAAATACGATATGTTGGCGAAACTCGCTTAGATTAGAATCCTGGCGGTACAAAGTACTCAGTGACCCTCAAATCATATATAGTCTTTTAAAGGTTCGCAAGGGGTAAGCGAATGGGTAAAATTTTTTTAATTACATTTTTATATAGCAAGCTGACGAAAATTGGCAGTGGACTCTTTAACCGGATATCTCGTAGTGGTCACACTAAAGCCCCCTCGCTCTTTCTGTGATGAGCCAAATCTCCATGCGGATTGGTTATCTCATTCCGCGCCTGTATTTTTCAAATAACAGAGGACTCCTGATCTATTTCACTCCAAATCCCTCCTAACACGAATACATATAATGAAGGGTACTATGCGACTAAGCCCCCTTTGAAGAGGCGCTGGGAATATGTGTTAGTGTCATCATGCCTTGTCGCTTTGCTTGGAAGGAAGGTTGAAATCGGCCACTGTATTTTGCTCTTCTCAAAAATTGTATCGGGATTCTTCTTTAGACTTTCTTATGCAACTTTTGAACATATTAACAAAACAAAAGCTCCCTTGCCAACTTTCTTGGTGATCAGCTCTTATGACAGAAAACACTTGAGCATGCTCCGAATGGGACAGCCGCAACGTAGCACTTGCGCTACTATTTTTTTTTTCTATATAATACGTTTCTTTCTCATTTTGTAAATCAGTTATTATTCTTTTAATATTTAGATTTTATTTTAAAAAGTAAAATATTTATTTAATTTCATTTAATTTTCATTACCTTTTTTACTTATTTTTTTAAATCTACTTTTTAGACTTTATTGTTTTAAAATGAAAAATATTTTCTTTTGTAATATCATTTAATTCCTTGGAACTTATTTAATTTTTAATTAATTTTAATAAATTAATTTTAATTTTAATACATTTTTTTCTTTTTTAATTTAATTTTCTTCAAATTTCTATATTTTATTGTTTAAAAAGAAAAATATGTTTTTATTTCATTTAGATAATATTTAGAAACTTAGTTTAGTTTTTACCTTTTCTAATTTTCTTTTTTTAATGCATTTTTTGATTTTTAGATTTTATTGCTTTAAAATGAAAAATAATATTTCATTTTATTTAGTTTTTGACACTTTTCTCTTATTTTCAATTAAATTTTTGCATTTTCTAGATTTTATTGTTTTAAATTTTACTTGCTTTGATTTCAATTTCTTTCTGCAACAAGAAATTTCTTTCAATTTCTAGTTCTAATTTTTTAAAAAGAAAAATATTAATCTCATTTTATTTTATCTTCAGAAACTTATATTATGTTTTTCTTCCTTTTAGCCAGTTTGTGCTTATATTATTTTAATTGTTAGATTTTATTGTTTAAAAATATATATCTTTTATTAACCTTCATTTAATTTTTTAAATTTTATTTTGAATTTTTTGCACTAAACTATTTTCTTTGGCAACTTAATTTTCTTTTGTTTTCTAGATTTGATTAATTTAGAATGAATTTTTTTTTATTTTTAGGAACTTATTTTATGTTTTTCTTTCTCTTAAATTTTAGATTTTATAGTTTTAAAATTAAAAACATTTTTTTATTAATTTTTGGGAACGTGTTTATTGTTTTTTACCAAAAAATAACTTTTTTTTTCTTTTTTAGTTTAATTTGCTTTTATGTAATTTTAGATCTTAGTCTCTTAAAAAGAAAAAATATTTTTTATTTAACTTAATATTTAGAAACCTGATTTATTTAATTTCTATTTAATTTTTTATTTAGGTTGCTTTTATTTTTTAGATTTTATTCTTTTAGCAATTTTTTTTTAATTCATTTAATTTTTAGAAATTTAATATATTTATTTTTTCTTTTTTCATTTTTTTTTTAAATTAGATTGTTTTCATTTTTAGATTTTATAATTTTAAAAAGAAAAATAAATTTAACTTAATTTTTGGAAACCTGATTTATTTATTTTTTTGTACGTAATTTTTTTGTTTTTTTAAAAAGAAAATATATTTTGAAATTTAATTTAGTTTTTATAAAGCCTATTGTTAATAGGAAACAGAATAACCCTAAAACCTCTTTCAATTGGCCCTTCGAAAGACGGAAAAGAGTTTTAAATTTCATTTATTTTTATTAGCAACTTTTTTTTCACAGAAATAAAATGTTGCTTGGTGGAGGATAAATTAATGATTCGAATATGAAATTCATTTCCCATTTCCCCTTTTCTTTCTTTGCAAACGTGGCACACGCACACCAGCAGTATCGCACGGTCTCATTGGACATCCCGGCATTGCTCACGGCATCCCACTTGCCGCGCCAGCCTTGGCGCATTATCCAGCACCGCTGGCTGTTAAGTAAGTAAAAAAAAACTAAAATAAAACGAAATTTGAAAAATGGTGGAACGGGTAAATACGAGCAGGGTGAAGGGAGGAAAGTTTGTAGTCGAGGCTGTTGTAAATTGAAAACTGCGTATTATTTAAGCTCTGCTACTTACAGCGCTTCCATGAAATATTTATATTTTAACTTCAAACTAAATTTGTGTTTTTTATTTTGAATTTTATTTTCTCTTCTCTTTTGTAGGGCCGTTGCCGCCCCCGCTTTAGTGCATACCTCCGTCGCTGGACACGGCGTGCATTACGGCTACTAGGGCGTCAAAAACAAAAACATACATAGCGAAGAGAGTACAAGAGAGAGATAAAAGGAGTTGGTAAGAGAGAGAGCGCGAGAGGGAGAGAGAAAGGGGGAAATTATGAAGCGAAGTAGGCGCACGAACGGCGCAGCGCTGGATGTAGGCGTAGGGCGGTATGCTCGTTGCTTAGTGGTCGCTGTAAACGTCGACGTCAACGCCAACGCCGTAAAATTTTTAATAAAAATGAAAAATGAAACAAAAATAACAAAGATTAATAAGGAAAGAAGAAGAAAAACAACAGCAAATAAATTCACTTATAACTATGTAGGATAACAGCAGGAAAGGAAAAAAACAATTACAACAAGAACAAACATAACAGCAATGTATAATGTGCAACAACAGCAACAACAACAACGATGTAAAACGACAATACAACTATGAATAACAATTAAAATAATAACAGCAAACAAAAAAAGCAAGCGTTTAAGCACAGAAGCAAAAAAATAAAAAACAGCGGAGTTCGAAGCGGAGGCATTGCCGTAAACGAAGGACGGTGTCTGCTGCCGGGTGATGAGTGGGGAGCTGAAAAAATTGCTGCATAATTTGCGCATAACTTACTTGATTTTCCGCGCGTTAAACGAGTAGTTAACAACCGTACAACAGCAACAACAAGCATAGCAGGCAGGTGTCGATGTTGCCACATGACAACCACAACAAACAACCCACTGCGCTTAAACTTGTTGTGTGCCGCCTGTGAGTAAGTGTGTATGTGTCCCACCCACATACCTTCAAGTATGACAACTCTGCAAGCTGTAGCGCCTAAAAATATGCCAAACAATGAAACTGAAGCTGAAAATCGCTATAGCCAACAGCGCAACCGCAATCGCACCAGCACTTCACCTACATTTCGAATTCATTTGCAGTTTTCAATTCTCGAGCAGTTGAAATTCGATTTTCAATTCGTTTGCCTCTTCCGCTACGATTTTTTTAAAAATGTTTTTGGTGTTTATTTTTTGTTTATTTGTGCTATGCAATTTTCCGCACTTCTCAATCGCTTGACATCGTTTCGGGATATGCAAATATGTACAAATAAATATTCAAATGTATGTATGTATGTATAAACGGATGTGTTTCCACAACAGTCACCCCAAATAAATCGTT